TCCTATTTTCAATGATAGTTGCTCTCCATATGGGCCAAACCGGAAAAATTCTATATTTTTATAATTTTATTTATACAATCATACGGGCCAAACCGGAACGAACCGCGACCCGCACGACCCGTGACCCGCATGGGCTCGACCCGGATGGGTCAGCGGGCGGGCCTGGGTTGTAGTCCAAAATTGTGGGCCGACCCGTAACCGGCCCGGAACCCGCAGCGGGCGAGCTTTTTTTCACGCGGGCCGTTACCGGGTTCAAATGTTGGCGGGCCGACCCGGCTCGGACCACCCAGATTGACACCTCTACCTGTTTGTTAATGTATCAGTGGTTAAATTGAATAACGTTGAGGGTAAGCTTTTGTAGTCCTTTGCTATGTTCACGTCACTGTTCAGTGTGAATTTTCGATTATAAAAAAGGGCATTGAAATTCATTCCATGTTATATTGCCCGTGCTGCTTCTTTTTTTCACATATATTTTCGAATTCTGATATTTTTGTTCTTGTCCGTATTCTACTTCGTTTCCTGATTTTGCCAACCTTTAGTAGACATCACACGTTAGGTGATTTACATTTCTGGAATACATTTATCCACAATTGGCTAATTAGTACACAGAGCAGAGATTCTTTTACTGACATGCTTTAGCTTTTTTGGTAAATCTGCATAACTAGTAGTACACTCAAACAATATGATGTAAGATGTAATATAATGAAACAAAAAAGAATGTTGTAACATATTCGGTTGGATTTGAACCTCTCAGTTCCTACGAAAAAGCAATACTCATGGGAAGCTGCACAAGTACAAACTGGAACTGGCATCAAACATGCTAATTCATCCTAAAGTTTTTTTAATTTCGTGTGATATTTCTCCGCTGTCAATACCCCTTGTGATATACTTCCAATTTCCCTCTGCAATTGGTATAATAGGGGTCCATTACATTCACCGTATCTCTCCTTCAATTTTTCCCAAAGATCATTCGCAGACACAATATATATAAAAGCCTCCACAATTTCTTTTGAAATCGAATTAAGTAACCATGATCTGACCATACAATCAACTTGTACCCATTGCTCAAACTTACTTGAATTCCCAACTGATTGTCCACAACCTCCATCTATAAAACCCAATTTCAATTTTGCCCTCAAAGCTATCTTAATAGATCTGCTCCAGCTAAGATAATTTTGTCCTGTTAAGTGTGAAGTAACCAGCTGCATTCCTGGATGATCCGAGTTCTGTAAGTCTAATGGATCTCCATTAGAATATGCCTTCTCTTCAACTTGCCACTCTGTAACTTCATCATCTTCAGATTCAGGTCGAGGTGGAATCTCAAGTGCCGCCATTTAAAACTTCAGTTAAAAATAATTTCTAAATATCTTGAACCATGCTTTGATACCATGAACAAAGTAAGAATTGAAGAGCAATTTTAATAGAATGAATTATTCTCATTAATCGGAATGGAAGATGATCTCCATCATATATAGATGGGGAATCATCAGTTTAACAAACCCAAACAAGCTTAACAAATTTAACAGACAAAATGGAAGAAACGTGAGCTAACTAAAAACGTGGAAAGCAAACACACGCTTTCCTTTTATTCTCTAAATGGGCTAAGATAACAGCTACTAATTGGGCTTGTTACATTGGGCTGGAACAACTCCCTCAAGCGAGCCCTGCAACAACCAAAACCCATCAACTCTTGTATTCTCTTCAATAATCCACACACATTCTCCATCCTCCATCTGTTTTTCTCACAAATAACATTGGAGAAGAATAAGGACTTTGGCTATTTCTGATAATTCCATTTCTCAACATCTCGGCAACTACCTTCTCAATTTCCTCCTTTTGATAATATAGGTACCTGTAGGTCTTACACAAGTAGGGTTAGCACCAGGATGCAATGTAATTTTATGATCATGACTCCTGGGTGGAGGCAGACCACTTGGCTTATCAAACACCTTTTTGAACTTGTCAACTACCCCTTGTACAGTGGTTGGAACCGGTTCAGATGGGTCTTTGTTGGCTCATTCCAGAAACTGTAGCCAAACTCCTTCGGCAGAAGGATACTTGAGAGTTTTCACATATTCAGCTTCCTCTACTACTTGACTGGGCAACTGGATTCATCTTAATGCAATAGCAGTGTTATGAATAGTGAAAGACATAATTAAATTAGTAAAATTCCATACTACTGTCCCCAATTCTCTTAGCCAATCCATGCCTAAAACAATGTCACATCTCCCCAAAACCAACAAGTACATGTCTGGTATAGTGTCTAAACATTGTAATAGGAGTGAGAGTGCCTTACATAACCCAAAGCAAGGGATGTTGGCTCCATTATCCAGCTTTACTGACATTTGGCTCTCTTCCACTGTCAGTTTGGCTTTCCTTACTACATTTGGGTCAACAAAGCTATGCGTGCTTCCTGTGTCAATCAAAACCAATGTTCTAAAAGGCGTAATGTGTTGCGAGGCTTCGAGGTCGAGAATCTAGAATCACAAGTTTAGGCGTGTCAATGCGAAGAATAAGTGCCATAATGCATTTCGTATTTTTAATATTATTTTAATTATTTTTAAGACATTAAATATATTTTTATATATAAAAAATAGATTTTTTACNTAATTATTTTTAAGACATTAAATATATTTTTATATATAAAAATAGATTTTTTACTATATCATAAAAAAATAGATAAAAAAAGGATTAGGTGGGATTAAACGCGCATAGGCGGTCAACAAAAAAGTTTGACCGTATTTTTACGCGCATATATCAAATTTGACGCGTTTTCGACGTGCACCGCACCTAGGCGCTCCTAGGCGACGTATTTTGTCGCATTTTAGAACACTGATCAAAACAATTACACTGACTTTGTTGATAACCCTTGTTAGCCTCATGGTTTTTGGTGCTAGGGATCCAGCAACAACATGCAAAGAGATCCCTGGTAATTCAGCTTCATCTTCTTTTTATTCTCTTCATTGGTAATTACTGGTTTTATTACGGCTAGGGCTCCATCATTTTCTTCACCTTCTTGTTCCTCTTCAATACCTTCTAATAAGAAAATTTTGGGTCTATTACATTTATGCCCAGGCTGGAATCTCTCATCATAATAGTAACATAACCCTTTATCCCTCGTTTCATGCATTTGGGCTGGTGAAATCATTCTTATAGGCATGGTTTGTTTTATGTTTTGGTCTGGATTTCTGTTGTTGTTGTTTTGAAAGGTCTGAATGGGTTAATTAGGTGGAGCTGGAAGTCTTAGGATCAGTGGAGGTCCTGGCAGTGTGGGAAATGTGTTCGGGGTTGGGGTGTTGTAGCTATTTCGGGTTACATATTTCTGGGTTCTTCTCAAAGTTTCTTTTTCTTGTAACTTGGCTAAGCCAAATGCAGCAGATAAGGTGGTGGGTCTAAACATGGTGACAATGATTTTGAGATCATCTCTTAACCAACGCAAGAAGGTACTTATCTGAAATTTCTCAGTTAATCCTTTGATTTTATCAGATAATTCCTCAAAATAGGTTTGGTACTCTTCCACTGTTCCTATTTGTCTCAACTTAATAAACCGACCCACTGGATCCTCATAAGAGGAGGGTCCAAACCTCACTCTTAAGGCTGCCACAAACTCATCCCAGTTGGTCAGTTGACGTGAGTCTATGAGCCAAGAGTACCATGAAAGGGCTTTCCTTTCCATGTGGAAGAAAGCTATTTGAAGCTTCTGGTTCTCTGGGGCGTTATAGTATGAAAAGAATTGTTCCACCTTTAAAATCCATTCATTTGGTTCATCCCCATCAAATCTAGGAAATTCCAACCTAAGCGACCTAGCTTTAATCCCCACATTCCCTTCAAACAGAGGATTATTACTAACCTTTGAGTTCTGATCTGAAAAACTCGCTCCCGATTGTTGAGTTGCCCCAATCGTTTATAGGAAGAAGCCAAAGTGCTTAATTGTTGTGTCATTGTTTCTAACGAGCCTTGTTGTCACTTTTGTTCTTCTTGCAAGTTCGAATTCTCCCCTTTAATTGTTGCTAGCACATCCAGAATTTGAGCTTGCTTGGTTCCATCGCCATGTCACAGGAACGCGGCTCTGATACCTCTATTAAGTGCAATTCAACAATGTAAAAGAATAAATACAATTACTCTGTCTATTAGAGATGGCAGTTCCCCCACACACTCACTGAATTGGAAATAGGCGTCTAATGCATTTTATTGAATTTAAATGAACACATTTATAGACTGGACTTGGATTGTAACGGAAACATAGATGACTCGACCGACAAAAGATGCTAGCTGGCCAATTAAACAAAGTGGAAATTACACCCAACCAGAATTTTAAAGATTCAATTTCAAAAATCAGATCTTAAATTTATTTATAAAAAATCAGATATTAATTCAAAATTTTAATATTAATAATATTTAATATTCTCTCTCTAAATTATACCTACCTAAACCCTAAAATTCCCAAAATCCCAAATTATTTACCCACGTCTCTCTCTCACATTCCTCTTTCGGTTGCTTCGAAGTCAACAAATAGAATAAAGGTTACTCCGGCTCAGGCGATCGCTACTGGTTTGGGCACACGGCAGCTGCACACGATCGGCGCCGTCTCGTAGCGGCAACAGTACCGCTGCACATGATCGTCGTGGGGGCGCCGCACGACGATCGTGTGCAGAATTGCCACGATGATCATTTGCAGAAATCTGTTTCTGTTTTCTCATGGTAGATTTGAGGTGGTAGTGGTGGTGATTGGTGAAATAGGCAGTGGCGGTGGGGGTGGTTTCGAGTCGATCTGGTCAGTGGAAGTTTTAGGTGGTTTTTGTTGGCGGTTTGCAAATGGTGGTGGTGGTGTAGTTCAGATCTAAGGGTGGTGGTTATCTGATGTGCAACAATCTCAGGTCGGTAGTGGTGTTGGTGGTTTTCTAATCTATGGGTGGGTGATTTTCTGTGGTGATTTGGTCGCGATTGTTTGGGGATGGTGATGTCGGTGGTGGTGCAGGCAGAGGTGGCGACGGTGGTGTAGGTAGTGGCGTTTCTATTGGTTGCAAGTTTTCGTGGTGTTGTGAGGTCCGTGGCTTTTGGTTGTTGCCCGTGGGGGCGGCAATATGAATAAATATGTAACCTTGAGGATTGTGTGATTGTGATTAAATTTGTAGTTGTGACTTAAATTTTGGTAAATTGTGACAAATTAATTTGATAATCAATAATCATAAAATTTATGATTTGTGATCAAAAAATAATATTTGACCAATTAATTTGTAACATATAAAACTTCTGATTGAAAATTTTTGACTGTCTACTAAATTGTGACTTATAATATTTGTGATTTGTGACCGATGAATTAGTTGTGATGTATAAATTTTTTTATTTGTGACTGACGAACAAATTGTGACCTATAAAATTTCTAATTTGTAGCAGTAAAATAATTTGTGACCTATAAAGTTTCTGATTTGTTACCGTAAAATAATTTATGACTTATAAAATCTCTTATTTGTGATTGATGAACAAATGTGATATATAAAATTTTTGAATTGTGCCCGTAAAATAATTTGTGACTTTTCAATTTTTTATTTGTGACCGATGAGCAATTTGTGACCTATAAATTTTTTTAATTGTGACTGTAAAACAATTTGTGACATGTAAAATTTATGATTTGTGACAATTTAATAATGGATCATGCTAGCGGTACATCAAGCTTTACATCGGGGGTTACACCCCCTCACATGGGGGTGGGGTCCACTCGAGTAAAAATATATTATTTCAATGGGTCCTACCCCCATGCGAGGGGGATGTAACCCTTGATGTACACCACTTGATATACAAGCGGTATAACCCATTAATAATACGTGACCAATTATATAGAATTTGTGACAAAATTATATAGAATTGTGATCTTAATATATTTAATTAATAAAATATATGTTTAATTAATTAATTTATAAATAAAATTTAAAAAAAATTAAGATTTGAAATTTTAAACCTTATCTCTTAAATTTGAAATGAGTAAAATTTAATCTCTTAATTATGAAATTTTTCCATAAACAACACATGACTCCACTGCAACACAACGTGGCCCAACATGGGCTAACTGAATAACAAACAACACACTCGGTCTGGAATGTAACAACCCAGCCCACACTACGTAATGACTCAAAAGATCCTAACTATAAGTAACTTAAATGACAATGGACCCATTAATATAAAAAAAAGAATGAAAAATGCTAGAGGTACATTAATGATGTACCCCTAACATTACTCAAAAAAGAATTATGCTAGATGTACATAATTATCTACATAATGGATTACACCCTCCTTACATGAAGGGGGCCCACACATAATAAAATATCCGTGGGCCCCCCTCCATGTAAGGAGGGTGTAATCCATCATGTAGACTATGAGATGTACATCTAGCATAATTCTAAAAAAAACCTTACGAAACCTAAGTACAACTGTTCCTCAAACAGCCCCCGCATGCCGTTTATGCGATACACCTAACATCTTCCAATTCAGGTTATTCCAGCGTTTTCAAAACTCTGTTCAGTGAAACCATTGAAGAGAATGCCACAACTTTCTCTCTTTTCTCGGAAAATAATCCATTCAGAAGAAAACCCCAAGAGAATAAAGCCCAGGTACCGCAAGATGAATCGAGTTTAGCGGCTGGAGAAAAAGACGCTGAAAAGGAGGGAACCACGGGGAATCTGGATTGTTCTGAGCTGACGGAGAAGAAGGAAAAAAAGAAAGATAAAGAGAAGAAAGAAAGTTTGGACTTTGATTTGGAAGTATCAGGGGAGAGCAAGAAATTGAAGCAAGATCATTCTGAAGGAAGAAAAAACTCTGACATTAATAATTTAGGAGAAAATGGGTCTAGTGATGGACTGGATGTGAAAAAGAAGAGAAATTCACGTTTGGATTCAAAGGGAAATCTTGTAGAAGTAAATGCCCATATGATGGGCTATGGGAAAGATGGAGGCTCAGGTATTGGAAATAAAAATAAGAAGAAGAAACGGAAGAGGGATGAGTTGGAATTGGAGTATGAGGCTAGTCGATATGGGGAGGCAGATAAGCAGGAGAAGGAGAATGATGTGGTAGGAGAGAAGAGAAAGAAAATGAACAATCCAGAGGATATGATGGTATCAAAGGAAGGTTTTGATGACGAAAATAAGCTTTTAAGGACTGTGTTTGTTGGCAATTTGCCATTGAAGATGAAGAAAAAGGCACTACTCAAGGAGTTTGCAAAGTTTGGCGAAGTCGAGTCTGTGAGGATTCGGTCTGTTCCAATAATTGATGTATTCCAATAATTGATGTAAGTCTTTCTTGCTTGTCCATGTCTTATTGTTGGTAATCTTTTGCATCTTCTTGTAAATAGACATGAACAGTAATCAACTTTCTCTTGCAGAGCAAAGTACCGAGGAAGGGTGCTGTAATCAAGAAGCAAATAAATGAAAATGCGGACAGGTTTGATACTGAATGGAACTTCTTTTCCTTTTGGTTGATTTATCTGACTCCGGTGGTTTATCTGGTTGAGGTCTTGAGGATATTGGTTTATCTGGTTAAGGTCTTGAGGATATTATAATTGACGTTTCGCTATGAAAGTGTTCTCTAAATAGATCACTCTACCCACGCTTGTACATTATTCACCATGAATTGTTCACTTATGTATCAGCTGCTGGGACTTTTTATTAAGCTGCCAAGATTGGGCATTCGTAGAAGAATGTATCTAACTGGTTTGTAGAAGTACGTTCACACACACGCCTGTGTGCATATAATTCTATTAAGAGAAACATTGGGAGTTTAATAATAAGAAACCGGTTCTGAGTCATCTTTTTCTTATTGAAAAGATGCTTCAAACCAGTTGAATTAGACGATGGATACCTCCAGTTAGTGTCTGCCGTTGCATATACTTGTGTGGGTTTTTTTCTTTTTTAATTATCTCTTTTGCGTTTTTGTGGACCAGAATCCTTGCTTAACAATTCTATGATCTCTTAGTTCGTGAGCAACATATGTTGCTCATATAGAAGTGTTCTTCACTTCTTTCATTCAAATATCTTCCTCACAATTTGTTGACTGTGCAGTGTTCATGCTTATGTTGTTTTTAAAACAGAGGACTGTGCTCAAGCATCATTGGCCCATTATATGGCTTTGTAGGTTTCCTCTTTCCCTGATTCATCTTTTTTGCTTACATTGAAGATAAGTATATGACTTGAGTTCTGTGCATGAGTGCAGGTTGGGGGAAATCATATTTGTGTTGACAGGGCATGCCCACCACG